TATATATATATATATATTTATGCATAAAGGAATATGTCAGTTGATCACCAAGATTTTTAATCCATTCCCAAAGATTTGTTGGTACTCATAAGTAGACCATCTTATTTTAACAAAGTTTACTAAATGATAATTACGCGTGAAATATGACATTTAAATACATTTTTACATTCAAATTGAGTATTATTACTCTATCAGATAAAGCTTCATATGTTTGGTAACTTCTGTTATCTTTAATCAGTAATATTTATAGGCTAAGTTAAAAGAATTAGCATCAGGTCGGGATGACTATTAGATAAAGTTTTTTCTGAAAATAACGAGTACTCTAAGTGATTTCTCTTACCTTAATTCACGTTGTTATAAACGTTTATATACTGGAGAACACAAAAAGGGCTCCTCACTGTTTAATCTGTAAGCTTAAATATAAAAAAAATGTCATTGAATGAGAAATGATTTGAAAAATAAGAAAACAAAAAGTAACAAATTATGGGATAATCATTCCAAATGAAGATAACTTTCTTAGGACCTCATCATATGTGTCATCATACACTTTGCCTCACTTCCTACTCTCTCTACATTTCCCTGATCACTGACCCCCACCTTCCCATTCTTTTCCCTCTCTCTTTCTCTCTCCTCTTTTGCTTTTCAGCCTCCCATAGCATCTTAGTTTTTTATTCCACCTAAAAAGTAGATAATTAAATTGACTGCAACACATGAGAGAGAAAGAGAGGGACAGAGAGATCCCATCTAGCATATATGATCAGTTCATGTTGTTTAGGGTTGGAACCATATAATTAAGAAGGCTAGCTAAGCTACCCCATTCCCTTTGCTTTTCTCCTAATTCAAACACTAATATACTTCTTCCCACCTTAGTCAGCTTTAACTGTTTCCAAACTGTGTCAAACTTAGGATTCAAGAAACATCTTCGCTAAGATATGTTAGAAAGGATGGATGATGGAGAAATTTCAAATGCTTTCCCTCACCACAACACTTCAACTGCTGCATCAAATAACCAGCCTCCTGTCTTGAAGAGGAAGAGAAACCTCCCTGGAAACCCAGGCAAGTTTTTTTCAATGCCTTATCATTCTCACCATCTTTCTTTTATCTCTACCTTTTCTCATCATCGTAGGTATATTCAAAGCTATTTTCCTTTTTCCTGTTTTTCAAAAAAGAGGCAATGGTTTTTTTTTTTTTTTTTTGTCTAGGAAAAAGTATCCTCTAGGCAATCTTGTTCGAGTCAAGTATGACCTGAAAGAGCCAATGGTTTATTATTGTGTGAATGAATTAATGAATAATCTTGTACATGCACAGATCCTGAAGCTGAAGTTATAGCCCTATCACCAAAGACACTGATGGCCACAAACAGATTCGTGTGTGAAATTTGTCTGAAGGGTTTCCAAAGGGATCAAAACCTTCAACTCCACCGACGAGGGCACAACCTTCCTTGGAAGCTGAAGCAGAGAACAAGCAAAGAAGTGAGGAAGCGAGTCTACGTGTGTCCAGAGAAGACTTGTGTCCACCACCATCACTCAAGGGCTCTGGGAGACTTAACTGGGATAAAGAAGCACTTCTGCAGAAAGCACGGTGAGAAGAAGTGGAAGTGTGAGAAGTGCTCAAAGCGTTATGCTGTGCAGTCAGATTGGAAAGCACACTCAAAAACCTGTGGAACCAGAGAATACAAATGTGACTGTGGCACTATCTTTTCACGGTACGTTGTTATCTCTCTATCTTATCTTGTGGATCGCAAACTGTTACGTTTATATCCATCTCACATAGTAATCAATTTTTGTGTAAAGTGGTAAGTTGTCTAGTGGTATGTATGTATGAAAAAAAATAGAAATAAAAAATGGAACAGGCGATTACTATTCTTATCTTTGTGGCAAAAAGAAAGAGCATCGCTTTCCTCATGCACTAGTGGTAAGATGAAACTGAAAAAGATGTGAAAAAAATGAATCATGATACTGAAGTCCATAAACTGTAGCTGTGATATCTTTGTCTCTGACTCATCCTTGTGTGGCTGTGTGGCTGCTGTCTATTTGGCTTTTAGGAGTAGTAAAAGGAGAAAAATGGGTCTTCGTGCAGTGAAAAGAACTTGAAAGAACCCACACTTGCAAGTTTTATTACCTTTTTTGCAATCATCTTAAACGACAAAAGTTCTTAGATTACCTTGTTATTATGATATTCCTTTTATATTAATTCTGTAGTTTTAATATCATTGACTAATATGGGACTGGGGTTTCACCTATAGGTTAGGGATTGAAATTACTTGTCCACAATTTTTTGTCTCCTTTCTCTTGTTCCCATTGTAAAGTGAAACATGGTTTAAAAATATTAACATCTCTACTCGGCAGTTAGTTTTTCATTATTTTTGTGACCGCGATTTTGGTGTCAAAACTTCAAGGTTTTTCAGCTCATGCACCGTTTAAAATTTTATTTTTTTTACTCATGTAATTCATCTAAAGCTAAGTGTTACAAGTCGTAATAATGCTGCAGTCTCACTGGAGAAATTCTTGAGGCACAAAGGGCAAGAAATGAAATTGTACCACCTTAGTTATGCGTTTAACTTTATCTCTTTTTCAAATTAATTACGGCTGAAGAGGTACAAGTAGCTTTCTTTCATGTTTGCCTTTAAATAATCAATTAATTTACTGTTTGTTGTCAATTTTTGTGGAACAGGAGGGATAGCTTTATCACTCATAGGGCCTTCTGTGATGCCTTAGCAGAAGAAACAGCAAGGGTGAACGCAGCATCAAACATAAGTAACTACAGCATCATGCAAAATTCCCTTGGCCCTAACATGACAACCCATTTTTCATCATTTTTCAAGCCAAACTCATGCACTGAGGAAACAGTTAATAACCAAACATCCAAGGGCCTATCCCTTTGGATGACTCAAACATCTCAGGCTCATGAGCCAATAATGGCTAACAACAATTTGCACGAGTTTCATCAACTTGGGTCTGCTTCAAGCCCAACAACAGCAATTTATGGTGGGAATCCACTTGCTTCATGCTCAAACCCACCACCCTCTAATTATCATCTAAATTGGGTGTTTGGAAATAAACTTTCCTCAAATGGAAGTCATCAAGAGCTAACTAGCACTGCTTCACTTCCACTTGTGAATAACATTGTTAAGGATAACCCAAACCTTCAGCTCATAAGTGTTCCTTCCTTGTATAGCTCACAACACCAATCCCATCAAACAAATTCAGCAAACATGTCAGCCACAGCTTTGTTGCAAAAAGCTGCACAAATTGGGACAACTTCATCGGACCCATCATTATTCCTTGGGAACATAGGTTTGAAATGCAACAGTCCAGGTCAAGATGGGAACAAATTTTGTGGCATGTACGGTTCAAGTTCAGTAGTACTCACAAGTCATGGCAGTGAGGCAGAGAATAATTATTCTGGTGATTTGTCACAAATGCCCCCTTCAAAACGACGGCACGTACAGAATGAAGAGACTGCATGGGGACAAACTAGGGACTTTCTCGGTGTTGGTGGTGTCAACCATTTGCCACCCTTCATCAACCAACGGATGGATTTGATTTGATATCACGCATTCAAATGTCAATTTATTTTTTTTTAGTTTTTTCTTTTTCTCAAGGGAACATGTGATAATAAAGGAAGAGTTGGAGTCTTCAACATATAACTATATTAAATATTTAGACGAAAAACTGTGATTTATAACAGTGTTATCTGATTCAAATATAATTGTTTCCTGTAAAAGTTTAAACGATACATATAACCTATAATAATAATAATAATAATAATAATAATAAATAATGAGGATGTGGTGATGTGGTTGGAATAAGTAAGATTAAGAGGAAATAAGAATATATATCTTGAAACTTTGCAAGGAGGAAAAGGTGGGAATTGAGTGCATGATGAAGGCTTAAAAGTTGTTACAAAAACCAGATGAAGGGGGGTGAAAGGAGAGATATACATGCATATTCTTTTGAATCCTGAAAGCTGAGTCCTTTTAAAAATGGGGGGCTTTAATTTTTGATAAAGGTTTTGTGGAGTAGTGGGGGCAAAGGATAGGACCGCTTTTGGACTCCATTATTGCTCAGTTTCATCTCCGTTGTGTGGTTGTTGCCTTTCAAACTGGACTTGAAAGAGGATTTCCAATGACCAAAAAGCATGATTCTATAGTACAAATAGCCTTTTTAGCCTGTTCATTATAAAATAAGCTCATGTACCCTTTCATTCCATCAACAACGTGCATACATCTACTAATACTATCTTTCTTCCTATGCATGTCAAAAGAAAATTTAACCAAAAAAAAAAATAAAAGTAGACAACAAGAGGCAGTTAGAAAATGATGTTAAAACACATTTATATTTTTCATCTAATTAGGCTTCAAACTTCCACAAAATAAAGAGGTTCGCCGCTTGTTATAATTTTCTTTTTCTTTTTCTAGACAGGCAAATACTATATATATTTCACGAAAGACAATAATATGTTCGGAGTAAAATTATCATGAATAATAAAATTCTTACTTGTGAAAATGTTTCGAGTTAGATTCTTAGTTTATTCATCCATTTTTATAATAAAAAGTTAAATATAATATAAATTAAATAATTTTGTTACATATTGTTAAGGCAAAAAAAAAAAAAAAACTTAATGAGAGGCATGCTAATTTAAAAAAATTATTTACATTGTTTTACTCAAACAGCTTAAATTTCTAGATGAACTAATTCATCATGACATAAATAGGTTAGGTTTTTTCCCTAAATGATCAAATTCTTCTATGGATATACTATATATTACTATAAATACTGAACGACTCTAGCAAATGTTCTATTGCACAAAAAGCGTAAAGTTGAAAAAAGTGTAAATTTTTTATGTTGATTATTTTGGTGCTTATTAGCATTTTTCTCTCCCTATAGCTATAGCTACGAAAAACAGAGGGTACATGTTCAAATGGTATTAGCACGTCCCTTCACTGTTTCTGCACAAGACTTAATAGTGAATAATCCTATGCTTGGTTGCAAATTGCAATGTTCGATCAAACGGGATGGGAAGAAAACATATGGATGAAAAGAAAAAGTAAAAAAGAGAAGCCATTTTATTGAGTTTTGACTCCCGCACTCACTCACCACGTTATGATTTTGTTTTAACTTTTGGTCACACGATGACGTACGTGGTGGGGTGGAACAAGTTATCAAATCGTTGTTCGTGATTATATACCACATTTTCTTTTTAATTGAAACGTTGCTGATGTTTAAAGATTTGACAGCCTTTGATAATGATAAAGTTTAATGTAAATGGTATATATATAATTTCCATGCATGAATTCTAGTTGTAAGATCTTCTCATGGCACGTATCGCATTTCACTTTGATACTTTCTCAGTTTCTTGTGATCTGACAACACAATATAGAGATTTAGATCCCTCTGAACACCAATTTTTTCATCGGACATTGGTGATAGAAAATTAAGGTTTCTGGGTCAGTACCCAAGTACCAAGGAGACACGTATAGGAGTAAATCTCTTTTCCTGCTATATTTATGTTATATGTTTCGGCAAAACTGTTATAAGGTTCTCGCTATTGAAATAAAAAACTAATTTCACAATTATTAAAAAAATAGTTAAATATATTTATTTTTATAATTAAATATATATACTAAAATATTTTTGGATTAAAAAAATTTAAGCATCTTTTTTTTTTTTTTTTTTTTACTTATATATAGATTTAGGGGGAGTAAGTGAGTTGTCGGTTTTTTATTTTCAAATTAAAATTTGAAAATAAAACATTTGTATTGATAATATTTTGAATTATTTTTTTATTATTATTATTTTTAGGAGATGCTAATTAGCTTATTATATTTTAAATCTATTTTCTCCTCAATAAATGAAATTAAAAATTTGAGTGGAAGATGTTATTTGCCTTTATTTTTTAAATTATTATCATTTATTTATTTATTTTCTTCTAAGAAACACAAAGAAAGACTATAAAAGATCTTTTAGGTCTCTTAAAAGCTACCCAACCCATGTATAAAGAGAAGAATATGATATGACATTCTATTCTACACTTGAATTGTCACCAACATTATCTCTCTCTTAATAAAGGAACTCTATGAGCACTACGAGGATAATTGTAGAGTGGAACTTTGTGTTAGATTTTGAGGCCCTTTCCTATATAGAAAATAGGTCCAAATGTATAATCTCATAAGAGAGAGATCAAATCGAGACAAAACAACAACATAAAAAAAAAAAAAAAAAGAAGATTAAAAGTCATTGGACAATTCGCATTTTTACCAAGCAACAATTTTTGAATTGTAACAAAAAATTTGTTCACCATTTGGATCCAATTAAATTTTGGACAACAAATGATTCTTTATTTTCATTGATTGGATTGTCAATTGCAAGTTTAGAGCACAAGAAAAGTTATTCATATCAGTAATTTTGTTTTTTGGATTTTTTTTTAATCTTATTTCTCATTAGAGAGCCTTTGCTTGGTTTACTTTAGTTGATTGTAAGCATTATTTTAGTGTATTAATTGACAACTCTTTTGTACCATGTTGAACATGATGAAATTATTTTTTTGGTCTAAACAACATGTGATTTTTACCCTTGTATTAAGGGATTTTCATTCTAAAAATTCTCATGTCTCTTGCACATTTGATTTTTCTTTTTTGCTCCGATTGATTCTTGCAAGTCAAGAGAAACTTAATTGCATTACTTATATCTCTTTCATTAAGTTGTTGTGATAGTATTGGATTTTCTCCCAATAGTTTGAGTCCTTTTAATCGTTAATGAAGTTCTATTTTTTTTCTTCTTTTGATCTCTATTGTTCTCAATCTTCTATATCCAACTAAATCTCTTTGTTGGTTTTACAAGGACTTCTATGCAAAACCTAATGCTTACTCCATTATCTTGTCATGAAAACAAAACCTGTAGAGGAATCAGATTGATATAGGTTTGGACCTAATGTCTATCTTTCAATCTGAATCTGAAGCCCGTTCATTGTAGACTGGGCCCCGAAAATGGGAACATCGAAAGCCCAATTAGGCAGCAGGCCCGCCCACAAGCGAAAACAAAGAAGAATGAAACACGGAACCTAGGTTGCGTCATTGCGTGTTAGAATCGAAGAGGAAGAGGAAGAGAAAGAGAGAGCATGAAGTTCAGAGACTCGCCGGTGATCGAGCTTCCAGTAGGCGACGCCGTTTTGTCTTTGCAGCAAGACAACGGTTCAATGCACGTGGGAAGCACCGTGTGGCCCTGCTCCCTCGTCCTCGTGAAATTCGCCGAGCGCTGGGCCCCACCCTTGGACCCTAACCCCTACGCCCACGTCCTCGACTTCAAATCGAAACGGGCCGTGGAACTGGGCACGGGATGCGGCGTGGCGGGAATGGGCCTCTACTTACTGGGCCTGACGGACCTGGTCCTCACCGACATCGCCCCCGTCATGCCGGCCCTGAAGCGCAACCTCAAGGTGAACAAGCCCATCCTCCGCAAGGCCCTCAAGCACTCCGTTCTCTACTGGAACAACGCGCACCAGATCGCTGCCCTCAACCCTCCCTTCGACTTCGTCATCGCAACCGACGTCGTTTACATTCGCGAGTCCGTCCCTTCTTTAGTTTCCGCCATGGAAGCCCTCGTCTCCGACGACGGCGTCGTTTTGCTCGGCTACCAGCTTAGGGCTCCCGAAGCGCACCACCTTTTCTGGGAACTCTGCGATAACACCTTCCACGTCCAGAATGTCCCTCACGAGCATCTCCATCCCGATTACGCTTACGAGGAGACCCATGTTTATTTTTTGAGAAAGAAGAACAATAAACAGTGACTCATTCTCATACATAGGTAATCTTTCACTTTATCTAATTAATTTTTTCATTCAACTTGGAATGGAAGCGTTTCGAGATTGTTGGTTGTTAAAATGCCTTTTTCCTTGTTTGTTTAGTTTGGTACAAATTGGGGTCACCAGCCGCACCTTCATTTGTCATGATTTCATTAATCACTTGATTTGGCATCCTCTGTTGACTGAATTTTAGAATCGTGGGGATTGGGGAAGGTTAATTTTTTATGCCTGGGTGAAAGGTTCTATTTCTGTTCCTTTAGTTTTTGGTCAGACAAACTCATCACTTAATGGAAGAACTTGTTATCAAGTTGACAAATTTGTCGATCTATTTATATACTTTTGGAAAGCAGAGTAACGCAAATAAATATCTTTCGAGGAAAAATTATGTGTATATTCACACTTTGGTGTTGATTACAGCTTAAGTATGTGTTTCAATACATCGTTTTATTGGTGGGTTGGTCGCACAAGCACGCTTATGTTTTTGATAGGTTGATGCGTGGGTTGATCATTTGATTGTTTTCATGGGTTTGTTTTTGCTCTTGTGATTTCATTCTGATAGATAAGTATTGAGATAAAGACAATTTGTTGGAATTGGCTAGTGGTAAATGAAATGAAAGACGCAATAGTCCTGCGAATTTTTTTCTGAAATAATATTTTTTAAAAAAAAAATTACAAGAATGATCACTGTGCAGGATTATTTACCAAGATAGAACCATTTACTGTTCAAGCTCAGAATTCGGTTCCCCGGGAACCGAATTCTGAGCATCAAAATGTAATTTTTTTTATTTTTTCAACTCAGAATTCGGTTCCCGGGGAACCGAATTCTGAGTTGGTTTTAAATTTTTTTTTTTTCGTGTATGGGGGCAAATGTGGGCTGATCTGGGAAGCGGAACGGCCCGTTCCAAAAGCAGAACGGGCCGTTCTGCTTAAAGAAACAGAGTGCAAATTCTGAATGTGAAACGGCCCGTTCTGCTTAAAGAATTTGCACTCTGTTTCTTTAAGCAGAACGGCCCGTTCTGCTTTTGGAACGGGCCGTTCCGCTTCCCAGATCAGCCCACATTTGCCCCATACACGAAAAAAAAAAAAAAATTTAAAACCAACTCAGAATTTGGTTTCCCGGGAACCGAATTCTGAGTTGAAAAAACAAAAAAAATTACATTTTGATGCTCAGAATTCGGTTCCCGGGGAACCGAATTCTGAGCTTGAACAGTAAATGGTTCTATCTTGGTAAATAATCCTGCACAGTGATCATTCTTGTAATTTTTTTTAAAAAAAATATTATTCCAGTAAAAAATTCATAGTCCTGCTGCAGGATAATATAGGTGCCATGTCATCTGAATTCTGAAGCTCAATGAATACAAATTGAGGGTGTATTTGGAAATTTGTTTGAATGGTGTTGAATGGAAGTTTTGCACTTTCCAATGTATAAACGGAAAAGCTGTATGAGTAATGGATTGAATTGAACGTGGGTTCAATTATCCAAACCAAACACATACTAAGTGGTATATGGTTTTGGTTTTGGTTTTGATTTTCTTCTTGTTGTTGCGAAAAAAATTGTTTTTATTCATTTAAAAAGTTAAAATTAGTCTATAAAGAAGTTACATCTGAAAGTCTGTCTACTAGCATTCTCAGGGTGTTTGATGGCTTTTTTTTTTCTTGTTTCTACTTTGCGTGTTATATGCGACGGCCTTAAGAAACTTATTGTGGAAATGGATTATTGTTAACAGGGTATCATAGAATGTTGTTCGCGCTGGTGTTTATGTTGATCCTCCAAATGGTTGCCAAAAAGAGATCCTTGAATACTTAGAGGCGTGTTCTTGCAGCTGTAAATGTCTTACGGGAAAAAAGGAAGTGAATGGAGGGGATTAATTATGAGATAAAACAACCTATATGACTGTATCTAATGATTACATACTTTTTATTATTTAATCATAAGCTCATTTAACTTTTTTTTTTTATACATTAATATTCAGATTCTGGTATGTGTCGCATCGCATGCGTGAGTAGGAGTGTGCATACCTGGTTTGCAAATTGCAATACACTTTATCGTAAATAATTGAATATGTAATTCATAGGCAGGCACAAATTTCTTATGGTTGAAGGTATCATGGCTCTGCAAGACTTGGTTTGGTGGCTTAAAGTTAGCAGAGTTGATTGCACTACAAGTCAATTACGCCCTCAGTATTTACGCAGATTTCGACTATTTTATTTTAGTACAAACTAGCTAGTAGCTACCTAAGAAAAGGTGCTCAAGGACATGGCAGATTCAGAAGACGACCAAGATGAAGAGAAGCCGAGTGTTGACTGTTTGTGTGTACTTTGCTCTTTCTGTATGCAAAAATAATTTTGTTTTCTTGCATCGTTGAATATAAGTTAATCCATATCCATTAACAGTTGTTGTTCAGTCTAAAGTAGAGTGACTTCATTAGCATTGGCAATATTGTCTCTTTCCAACACTTTGGTTCTCGAAGTTGTTGACCTTCATATATGTACTTCCCGATTAAGTAAATTAATATTCTATCGAGAGTTCTTTTCATATATATTCTCACTGAAATAGAGTGCCAATGGATGATCTAACAGTAGAACGTCATGTACTCATTTAAAACACGCATCAATTCCATCATCAGCATTTTTATTGTCACTGATATTCCCATAACGAGGATGGTTTAATTTGCTGTTATCTTTAACAACCTTGAATGACATTCTTCGTCGATCATAATTCACTCATAAAATAATCATATAAATTATATTATTTATATTCCCCCTTTTCTCACAACGCTTATTATAATTTACTTCCTGTTTCTTCTCTTCTCGTCACTGTTGTAAGAGAGGTCGTATAAATTCCCAATAAGAGTATACATAATCAAAAATCCAAACTCACAGTAAGAAGACAGAATCATTAGTTCAATAATGCTTTAGGTAAAAGTCATGTTTGTACAGATTGATGGTTAGTATTTACCCAAGTAAGGACAATTGACACGTTTTCTTGTCACTGTACAAAGCATGAAAACAGCTACCCTTCAAAAAATTTTAAAGAATAAAAGAAAAAACAAAGTTACAGCCAAATCATTTGTCTTTTTTCTTTACTTTGCCCCTCTCACCCCTTTTCCCCCCTCAATTGAAGTATCTGACCACTAGCTTTCAGATGAAGCAGTTTCTCCTTATTCTGTTCCTCTTTTTCCCTCCTAACTATATATATAGATGGTTATTAACTTATTTCTTCATTGCAGAATACAATGGTAATGTTCCTTCCCCTTTCCGTGCATAACACATATCACCTTTCTGCTACCATTCATGGAATGAAAGTAGCACCATCGTGGACAGGGAAATGGGAGATTACTTGGGCAGTGCTAGACCTATGCTGGTCCCCTTGATCAAAGGATACAAAAGAATTATTGTAGTACTCGACAAACCCTGTGTTTTTATGATTAGTTATCTCATGCACGCCTTCACCGTTTAATTTTGCAGGATATGAGTCTTTCAAGAGTGAACCACATTGTCTAGGTTGCGTTTGATAGAAAACTTTGGACACCACCAACTCCCCTTCCTTCTCCTCTTCATTGTTGCCAAGGTGGTACTGGTGCATGACCCAGTTTGTCTTTTCAGGCTTCCTTTGTTTTCTATAGTTGGTGTAAAGCACCAGAATTTTCTTGTACCCTTTTAACTTGCCACTGATGAAGACTGGCCTAGTCTTACCTGTTTTGTGCCACCGAGTCTCACTGCCATCTTCATCTGTGTGCACCTTTCTCCTTTTTCTAGTTCCAGTTGTGTATGCTTTCGAAGGTCGGTGAAAGAAATGTCGGATCAACCCATCTTTGCCGACTCCTGCAGTAAAATTCATCCAAACATTTATAAGTTAGATATTAGTTTTACAAATAATAACTTGTTATAATATGAAGAGATTTCTTGGACAGATCCTGAAATAGAAACAGTTGTAAACGCAAGGTTTGGTTGCATTGCATGCATAATGAAATCAAAGATGTTACAATTTACAAAATGGGTAAACATAATTTAATTTACAATGATGTAAAGCGTCAGTTCGTCACATCTTCTGTCGAAAAGTATGAATTCAGCAAAGTCCATGCTTTCTTCATTTAAAGTTGCTGAAGTGTAAAGGAAACAATCATCTGACCATATATTTGCAGAAATTATACGTATAAGCTTTAATTTCTATGTATCGACAGACATTGTAAAAAAAATATATCGTCAATCAATGAAATAGTTGTTATCACTCTTCAAATAATTATTATAAAATCAATAAATTAAACATACACATAAGTTTATCATTAATGACACTATAAAAATCCAACGTATACATGATAATTATTTAAAACATGTTTAAATACAGTTTAGATGAATATTTTTACTAAAAAATATTCTATATTTTCGATAGAGAAATTCTCTTAAACTCTTTTAAATTTATCCAATAATGTTCTCAATACTCAAATGTAGGGTATGTTTGGAAAATAGCATATGATAATGAAAACTGAAATGCAATTTATTAGACCTGAGATGATATTCCTCGTTAGAAAGAGTAAAAGAAAATGAAAATCAACGTGGCTTGTGTATAATTGACCTGGCAACTTCTCTGGATGGGTACAGCAGATTCCATTCTCTCCTTCAAGAGTAGGGATGAACTCATCGATTAACGGATGAAGCTTGTGAATATCAGAACGCACCTTTGCTTCCAAATGTTCAAGAATCTCCTGATCAGTAGGATCAAACTTCACTCCAGCAGGCAAACCAGGCAAGTCATGAATTCCAGCAGCCTAATAATATAATCAATACCACGATACTTATATTTGTTCTTGAATGAGCACCCCAATAAAATAGTAAAAATAAACATCCTAATATCATTAACTTCAAACTTAAATGGAAAAAAATCAAAAAGGATAATGATAAATATTCATTGACCAACTATGGAGTTTATGTGAACCTGTTCTTGGCATTTGATATGATGACCACATGTAGGACATGTTCTGATTAAGCTATCCTTGTGCCTCTCCACAATGATGCTATGGTTGTTTTCAGGGTAACTGCACTGAGTCATTGTTATTCTCTTTTATCCCTCATTCCATTTCTGGATATCTTCTTCTCTAGTGTCTTCGTATGCTGCTATAAAAGAAATGGAAACAAGAAGGACCAAGGAAGACTGAGAGATAGGGTTGAGCTAAGAGATGAATTTAAAGTAGTAATAATTAAATAGAAGGGGAAAAGAAAATGTTGTCTCTTCTAAAGTTTGCTCCCCTCATGTTAGTTTTTGTTGAGGGGTGGGAAGGAATTAAATTCTCCCTCACTTTTTTTGGTGCTTTATTCTTTTGCATGAGTGAATATGGAAGTCTTTCCCAACCTCCCTCTTAGGAAGAGGAGAGAGCGATACCTAAAAATTCTAAATATAGAGAGTGGAATTCATAACAAGTGATGGGGTTAGTTGAACAGGATGAAAAGAAATAAGATATAAGATTGCTTTGATCTCAAGTTTTGCTTTGCTTTGTATATTTGTATGAAAACTTGTAGAGGAATAAATGTAGATTTTTGTCCTTTATAGTCTGACTAAAGGTAGCTTTGAATTTAATTAAAAATAAAATAAAACCAGTTTTAAGATGGAAAGAAACAATTAATATAAGGATTGAAGGGTTAGTTGAGTGGGATTGGGGCAACCTAATGTAAGAACTTAGGTCTGGTGTCACCCTGGAGTATAGATAAAGTTAAAAATATTAATAGCAGAAAACTAAGAAGAAAATTGAAGAAAACATTTTTGAGCCAACCATAACTTCATTCCTTCACGTAGACTTCTCATGCATAGCAAGAAACTCTTCCTCTCTCTCTCTCTTTCAATGTAACTAGACAGGCTTGGCCTTCAACATCATTGATAGTTGCAGCACACTATCTATTGCCACGTGGCAAAAGCAAACGCCACCGTATGTCAATATTTATGTACTAGGTGAAGGAAAGGGAAAATAAGAAATATATTGGAAACAGTGTTCACATATAGAAGTTGTTATATTATTTATATGACACGTTTGGATAAGTATCTTCTATCTGACTATCTCAACATATGTGATATATATTCTAATTTGTTCAAACTGTAATCTCTCTTCTTGATCTCTTCACTTACCAAGATGAGAGATCTTAATATATTGAAAGAATATATTAATACTCAGCATATGCATAACTCAGCAACTTAACATACTAAACCTTTTCAACCGTTACTAAATTTCCGATAACCTTTTTATAGTTTAATACTCAACAACTCAACTCTTTAAACATACTTAATCGTACATACTATTGACTTATAATAGAATTAGCATTTGTTGAAGCTTAAAAAGACTTATTTTTTTTAATTATGTCATTAATATTTATTAATTTCATCGATGATTAATTTCTATTAAAAAATTAAAACTAATCATCTTAGGTTGCACCTTTCATCTCAAATATACTTTTTTTTCATACACAATATTTAAATTTGATTAGTTGATGACTAGATTTATTCATACTGCATGATTAATATATTTAAATGACTAATAAATTTAAATTTCCAAAAAAAATATTATTTCATAAGTAGAACGAATTTTCAGCATTTAGCAATAGTAATATTTAATCATAATTTTTTTTACGACAACATTAGACCATACGCTAGTACAAGAGAACTTATTCTGCATGGGCCATTGCACACTATAGGTACAAGTATCAAAAGAACGTGTATCATGCCAAATGGGACCTATGTACAAAATATAAGAATCTCTTATTATTAATATTTGGCTTTAATTAATTACAAAAGTTTGTCATACTTGGTGATAAAAAAATAATATATATATATA